GAAACATCGGCGACAAAAGGTAAGCGAGACCCCAGTACACGTCCACGGCGTTGGCGCGAGCCGGGGCGGACGGTTTCTTGATGGGGAAGTAGGCGCATACGGTTATGAGCAGCACAAGTCCGAGGGCGGCCGCCGACGGACGCGCCATTTTGCCCGCCATGCCAGCGTGAGGATTGAATCCTACGTCTGGTTTGTCGTCCGATTTGGGCGAGTCCAACGACGTGGATGCCACGTGGCCTAAGTTCCAAGCTTTGAATAACGGGGAAAGAAATGGACAACTATTGTGCTTTCGAGTAAAATTTCGTGTTGTGGCGTGGTTTCTCGTTGGAATTTAAATCGATTTGATTGGCTACCTCAGATGAGCTCAAAATGATTAGCCAATCAAAACCTTCCCAATGAAATTCAACCAATCAGATCGATTGTGGATCGGTTTGGTCGGCGCGATTCGATCGCACCCCCTCCTCAAATTTGTATCAAATCGACAATAACAACAACTGCATATTATTGTCTCGATATTCGAAAGAAATTGGAGATATGGGGAATCAAATGAGCAGAATACCGAAATCGCAGGCAGACAATCGATATACGACCAATCAAAACCCAGATCAAGAATCAAGTAGCCAATCAAATCCAATCAACCACTCTTCGACCATATTTCAACATCGAATTCGAGTGTCACTTCAATTAGTGTGACACTCGTTTACATCCAAAAGGGAATATACAAACAATCAATAGATACTTTTTGGTGAATCAGCACAAAAGGCAGCCAAAGTTTGGGGTAAAATGACTATACCAGACGGGGAAGTGGGCAGCGAGACTAGGGCGGCGGCGGCGTCGTCTTGGACTTCGGACGAGTCGATGCGGACGCGCGGCTGCAGCGAGAAGAAGAAGGGCACGCCGATGAACCCGACGATGCCAAACAGGAGATTACCCAACAGCCAGCTGAGTTTGCGCTGGCCCATCATGCTGCTGCCGTGGTGGTGGTGGTGGTGTGCATATTGCGACTTGCCGCCGGTCCACACGAACACCTCGATGACGCTGATGAATGCGCTGCACAAAAATAGCACCTTCCAGAACGTTGTGACCATGCCTGGATGGAAGTTGGGAAACCGAAACATCAACAAGAAAGGCGTCGCCAGCACGATCAGCATGCAGTAGAACCACACCGGGCCCGCGCTTAGTGCATACCCGACGACACCACCGAGACGACCCAGTGCACTCACACCCACCACGAGCAGCAGCGTCAGCAGCGGGAACGTACACCGCCACAGCAAGAAGTACCATTCGTGATGCGTTTTGAGCTGGAGAGATCGATCTTGCCTCCAGTTGTGCAGACACGTGTATGGATACAGGAAGCATGCTGACACCCACGACAGACATGCATTAACGAAGGCCGCACACGCCACGAAGCATCGCAACCCGCGCTCAAGGCATCGGCAGCACCCCAGCATCCGTTCGATGGTTCTGGATTACGATCGCCGCATGCGATTGGTCGAATAATGGTGGAAAATTATTTCGCACACATGTGTTTTAGAAAGGCCTAGCCAATCCAATCGCGTTTGTGAGGAATTGTAACCAATCATTGATCAGAACCGTGCAACGTTCAATTTGTATACCATACGTTGATGAAGCTTGCTTCATCAACACAAGAGGAAAAAGCACAAGAATGTCCAAAGTGATTAATATACTTCGAAGTACAGCTGTACAGTAATACTATTAATACTGTAGTACCGGTATCGGTTACACTACACCTTTTTGCGGTTAATTTCAGCTTTTTTTCACTATGGCTTATCCTTCCACCAAAACTAGGGGAAAAAAATATTAATAATATCGGCTACTGGTATACTACTAATAACGCTAAGGTTACTAAACGTTTTTGAACGCCAGAGCCGAACGAACGAGGTGGGGCGTTGAGTTGTCGAGTAGATATACCGGTATGCGGGTGTTGCGGAGTTTATGTTAAGGCTTACAACCCATAAAACAAGAGGTACTAGTACAATGTACGTATGATAAGGTTTACTATAATAGTATACTACTACGTATTAATTAATTAATAGTAACGTTACATAGTATTAATATTAATAACACGTTACTTTACAATCACAACATCAACAGGGGCTGCCTCCGCCTGGACAATTTCCTCACCAGAAGCAGCTTCCTTGTCGTTCACATATCGATACAGCCAATACATGATGGGAGAGTTCACCAGCGGCATGGGGTTGCTCATGTACATGATGGTGTCCACTGTCAGCGACAGCACAAGCACGACGTGGACGATCGACGAAACGATAGAGCAAACCCCATGACGAGGGTGATGTATCTGGATGTGGACCGGACAACCGGCTTTTGGTAGTGCGCGTCCAGCTCTTGGGTGGTCTTGTCCGACAGCGTGCGTCGGATCTGGTAGAACATGTCTTCTTCGAGCCACGACAGCGACGCGATCATAAACATGCCCGCGATCGCTCCCGACCCGACGCTGAATACGAGCAGCTTCTTCGCTTCCGTGGTGGTCAATGATCACCGAGACGAGCACGCCAAACAACTGGATCATCGAGATCGCGTCTTGCTTGCGGAACCAGAAGAACGTCACGAGGGTCTTGAACATGGGAATCAGCCCAGAAAGGAACACTGCCACGATCTTGGTCGTGTGTGGCTTGGCCAGTTTGTAGATGGCCAGTGGCATCACGGCGTTGAACACGAGCATCGGCGCCATGTGCTGCATCAGGGTCAGTACTTTCATACACGTCGTCGTCCCTGGCTTTGACGGCGACGGTTGCAAGGCGGTGCCTGCAGCTTGTGATGGCTTCTCCATGAGTGTGGTAGACTGGTAGTGGTGGTCGAGCAGCTCAAAGCACAATGATAGTCCACTGCCTGGGCGCGGCAATCTCTTCACCAATGCCCCATGCGACTCGCATGGGGCATTGAAAGTACCATGGTCGTAGAGTATAACACGGCCATGGTACTTTCACTCTGATTTCAACAAGATGATGTCAAAATACCCTATTCGAACTGTTGTAGCCATAATCTGTTTTGGCAAGTCTGCAAATATTCCCAAAGTCTCATATCCCATGAGAAAAAGGAGAAAAGAAGTAATATCTACAAAGTTGTCTGGATGCCAGCTGTATTTTGGAAAAATTATTCGATTTCCGAGTAAAGTGCAAGACTTCAACGTGAACACAAACCTCCATAAAACACCCCAACACCCGATTCTGAAGAAAATTGTGGCAGAAAATTTTGAACGTTGGTGGCATCTAGACGCAAAAATATCGAAAAATGGAATATTTCGATTTTGGCAACTTTTCTTGGGAAAACGGCCATTTTATGCCATTTTTCGTGGCATCCTATAGTACTGAGAAGCGCAATACTAGTACTACAGTACTGGACTAAGTAACGTTGACACTTGTACTGTACTATGAATAGTGGTACAAAGTAGACGTTCATATATTCATTGCTCAACCAGAATGGTTCGATTGTGTTGGACTATTGACCAAGCGCCGCCTGAGCTCCATACCCACTGGGTTTGCCCATCGTTTCAATCGTGGTGCCTCGGTTCAGTTTGTAGTCGGCTGACCCGGTCCAAAGCATCGTGCCACCGTACTTTGTGTAGCCGTCGGAAGCATATTGCTGGAGTTGGGGGATTGTAGGGGACGCGCCGAAAGCACACGCGCCTTCGTCCCCGGGCTTCCCCACGCATCCCCCCAGCACTATCTTGGTCGGGGGCACTGCTGCTGCCCACACGGAAGGGATGGTCGACTTGAGCAGGACGTCGTACTCTGACTATGGAGTGCAGAAACAAAACCAAACTCAGTCACACGTAGGTACATACATACCTTGACCAACTGCGATACAAAGTCTATCATCAAGCAAGCACAGTGGCCACTATACATACCCCAAGTTCGACGTTGTACATCATCAAATTGACTTGATCGACCACTTGACCAATGGCGGGGTGGTAGCAACGCTGGTAGTCCCCCTTGGGGTTGTTGCACGACACGTCCAAGGACGTGGGGAATTCGTCCCATGTCAGGCCATACGCCGGTTCATTGGGCTTGCGCTCGACTGCATCAAGGGACTTCCGAATAGCCAGCAAGTACGACTCCACGTGACTGCCGGCGTTGGCTTTCCAGTCGCCCCCGGTCATCAAGTTGCCGCTCTCGTCGTCAATGTCGATGCCGTCAAAGCCGAATCTGAAGTATTCATAGGGGGATTGAGTCGGTTAGAAACACGAAGGTGTCATTCTTCCACAGGCAAAAACAACAAACTGCAAAGTCCACTGCTACGACCGACGTACTTGGTCACCAATTTCGCCGCCGTTTGGCCAAAGAGGGCAATTTTATCCGGTGTGTCGAGGGCCACAAAGTTTTCACGTTGCGTGGCGCCGCCGATACTCGCATACTGTTGCACGCATTTTCTACGACATCGTAATCAGCTGGATAACAATGAAGGTGATCCCACGAGTTAGAGTTCGATGAAGTTACGATAACATTCAGTACTTCAGCGGTTTGAACTTACTGCTTCATAGCGTTGGCGCACTCCAGGAGCGTGACGTCGTTGCCTTGAAACGTCTGCGAGACTGCGCCAGTTTGGTTGTTGATGAGTGCAAAGCCCCAGTAGACGTGCGTGATGTACTGAAACGCTTTGGTTTTGATAAACTAGACAACAGAGTTCAGGGTTGATGTTGCCCATATTGAAAGAAGAAGACGAAAACTGTACGTACATCGAGACAGCCACCCGTGTGGCTCTGCCAAAACACGGAAAACGTTTTGTTGGGCTGCGGGCACACTCGGCACTTGTTGTTGTCCAAGTACATGCCTCGCGTGTTGCACACCACAGTGCCGTTGACAGACGTTGGTTTTGTCGTGTTGTTCGAAGCAGCATTGGGACCATTGGCAGTAGTGGTGTCTGTGGCAAACAACCCCGTCTTTGTGAAGTACGTGGCGATAACGACTACTATAGTCACGACGATCGCTACGCAGGTAGGGTTGGAGTATTCAGTCGTGAAAAAATAGCGTTCAGAGGACGAACAGTACCGGACAAGAGCATGGGCCACCAATGGCAACCTCGGCGGACCATTCTTCTTCTTGGGCCGAAGGTCGCTTGATTAGGAAGTACTAGTATGAATGACTGAGTGGCAAGTTCCAGTGGTGATTGGGAAGATCATAACAACGCATGGTTTTGCAGGGGGACGGCGCCACGGTAAAAGCGTGGTCAAAGTCATATGGGCGACGATGGACATTTGAGAGTCGTAACACTATAAATAGAATCGAGACGTATTGGACATTTGAGAGTTGTGAGTCTATAAATAAATGTGTAGCGAGTGCAGACCACCGTTTTTTTTGCCTGGAAGAAAACACAGTGTACACTGACACTAACTGCCCTTGACCGCAAAATAATGTGACTTTTTGGATTTACTTGTAGACAAGCGGATATCGGCAAGTACGCCGAAACCATGAGACAGTGGCCATGTTGGATTAATAGGCAGTCGGTCGTATATTAACGTTTCCCTTAACTAGTAAAGAAAAGATGCTACCGAGGCGGCAGTAGTCCCCCCCCACTCTCTAGGAAATTCATGTCGATAGGACTTGTGATCGCGTCTCGACGTTGACTGACGTAACTCTTGCGGCTCAATCCTTCTTTCTACAAGAACACACTATTGGCAGACGAACGATACGGACAAGATAATACTCAAACCTTGGCCAGGGTGACAAATACTTCGGGAAGAATGGCGTCGCGGAAGGGATGTCCGGAGAGCGCAATCGCATCGAAAAACATGCGGCGGACATGCGATTCGGGCGTCAAGTACACCTAACCACCCAAGAATACAGTATGGTTGGTCGAACCTGCAGTTCGTTGGAACCAACCAAAATATATAGCCTACCTTTTGCACCAAACTATTGAACTCGGCAAAGCACAGTACCCCGTTCTTGTCAATGTCTGCGGTTTGAAACGCCTAGGGTGTGATTTCACAGCGACAACCAAACAAAAATATCAAGTCAACCTGCAGCAAGTGGTCGTGTATCGCCGATTCCACGGCTTCAAATGCATCGAGGCACGTCGTCAGCGCTTCGTCCCGGTCCACAAACGTTAAAGTGGCGACACCAAGCCCTATCTCCAGCCACAGTGCACCATAGTGAGTCTACTACGTTGAAGTAGTATTAGAGAATAATTATGTATCCTCGGTACCTATTTCTTGGTGGGTAGCCACAGGCGACAACTTGTACAGTTTGGACTCAATCGACTTGTATGTTGTGTCTACAGCCCATTCACGATATACCATGATAGCTATCTCATTCTCAATGGGAACTGTACCAGGATCGTGATGCACCAGCTCCAACATACACCCTGGCTCGTACTGTTGAATCAAATCCACGGCCTACTCAACGACGATATGAATTCAGAAATGTAGTACTACGAGTAGGCATCGTAATGTAGTAGTACTAGTAGGCATCGTTTGGGTTAGTACCTGTCGAGTCAGATGCGGCACAAACCAATGTGGAATGGCCGCTTCATTCTACACCATGTCGCGTTGTAATAAAATACTTGGTATCTTTTTACTTTTGTCATTTGAAAATACTGTAATATATACTGTAGTACTTGATGAACACCTATCCCTGCGAGCAGCCCGACGTAGTAATCAAATGCGTCCAAACTAAGTGGGGTCGTGTGTTTGATATGGCACAGCCGAGCACACAATCGAATCTACGATCATGTTGTGGGTTCGTAATATGCAAAGGTCCTCGTTGTACTCAATAAAATATATTTATGATACCTCTGGATCAGCTTTCCAATACTTTTTCAATGACGTGACGAAATTGACCAAGTACATTTCGGCCACATTGCGGAGTCCGTATTTGAGGGCAAAGAACCGGTACAAGAACTCCCCCACGGGTGCACGCAATTCGTCCGCCATGCGGGCGCCGTATACCTGGATTTAGTGCCATCAAGTCGAGTAGTTTATATACTGTATATATACCTCGTGCAGGAGCAACTTTAGCTGTGCGACGCCCATGACCTTGCCTTTGTATGCTTGGGACTTGCCGATGAGTTTAAACTCCGCTGCAAGGAGTCGTGGCATGTCCTTTAACCCAGGGACTGCCGTCGTCGCAGGAGTCTTGGACTTTGGAGATCGATGCAGAGTTCGTTTGGCAATTTTAGTCGATTCCGTGGCAGTTGGAAGAGTTGCAGCAATTGCTTCAATAGGGCTGATAGCAGTAGAGGAAATGTCTACCGTTGGCTCGACAGAGTAGCTTTGCGGCGGAAGAGAAGGGGTCGTGTCAGTGGCTGGGTTATCTTCCGGTAATTCTAACGGAGTCGTTGGTAATAGTTCGTTGTTTTGCACTTGGGCGAGTTTGGCCAGTGCTTGCAAGTACGTGGGTTGTTTTTGTAAAGTTGGATCCGTCTAGAATCATCTCCTCAGTTCAAAAGAAAGGACAATATATATATTATATTTTTGTACTTGGGTGGCGATGGCGGTGCGCTGTTGCTTGGATTTCGCGAACGTAAAGATAAAATCTTCGAGTTTCGAGTTGGTGGTACTGACACTTTCCAGCATTTCCTTGGTCGTGTCGGGTACGCGCGGACTCGGCGAGTAATATTGATGCACTCCCTACCCCCATCCATACAATAGTTTCCTTTGATGAAACAATCAAACAACAAGAAATAGTAACTATATTTATATCTACCAATCGAGCTTCGTGAGTTTTGGGCACAACCGGGTCAGATACAAGGTTCATGCACAAGGTGCAATTCTGTACGAGGACTGACGTTTGCTGCTGCAAGAGCCGGAGGTCGTCCTTGGCGTCGTTCACTTCCCACGTCAACCTTGCTCGCTCCTCCTACGCCGCCGTCAAAAAAGATATTCAGATTATTTTTAGCACACTAAATGGGTTTTCGTAATACATTAAATGAGCTTTCGTGACAGGAAAGGATAAAGTTGGATATTGTGAATTTGCTATAACGTCAATATTTCGCGTTGGTTTATTGTGAATTCGCTATAAACTTCCAAACTTCGCGTGGTTTGTCCAAGCAATATTGAATCACGCTGGAGTTCTGATTGGTTGAATATACTTGTCCTTTCTATAAGAGCCAATCAAATACACTCAAAATTGATTAGCCAATGGCTTCGATTCGTGATTCGATTCGGCTGATTTTTTCGATACGACGGGGCTCTGGAAATAATATTTGAATCCACACAATATATATAAAGAATCGAACCCATCAATGACAGGTTTACGTCGTACGCTGAGGCTGAGCTTCCACCAGTCCAATGACAAGTCGCGCACCAAGCGCGTGACTTCCCACACGATCGTTTTCATTTCGTCTTCGAGTTGTTCAATCGGCGTGGTGTCGGGTGCGTTGTCGAATTCGTTCCACTCCCGTTTCTACGTTCCCAGTATGTAGTCATCGAGTCAGTCCACTACCGGTATATATCAAGTATTCTAAGTATTTATTATATATTTAATAAAATCGAACCACCAGACACACCTGCAGCTTGTGGCGAAACATTTCCTTGGACATTTTCATCAGTGCCACAATGCGCGCCAGTCGAATGCGTTTGCCGGCGAGCTTTCCTCGCGCCATGCGCTGGATGTGGACGGCAGCCAACGTCATCGTGTCCGACACGACCGAATACCTACGAATTTGTATATGCGTTGGTGAAACACACTTGCTCAAGAGCGAGGTACCGTTTCTGCAATGTTTGCTCGAGTTGCGCAGAAATGCGTAGTCGCATGCGTGTGTCAATGTTCTTTTGCCTCGCTGCGTCGGCGTTCACGACCGTCGCAAAGATGGACTCGCGAAGCCGCTGCGGGCATTAAATATTTGTGCGTTAAATGGGTGGAAGTAATATATATATATATATATTACGAACGTATATATCTCTCATACGTATATATATATATATATATATATATATATATATATATATATTCGATATGTTCATATAAATAGCTGACGCACCTGCATTGATATCAGCTCGAGCCGCAACGCTTTCACCTAGAAGTCCATAGACCACATCAAATCAATATTGATGTGTTCTTCCATCGGATGTATGTCATGTATTCATAGTGTATAGTATTGTCAAGTCGATTCGAAATTGGAGTGGGGTGCTCAATCGAATGAGCAGCACCAAATCGGCAGAAAATCAATCGACTGATTAAGACCCAGATCACGAAAAAAGTAGCCAATCAAATCCATTCGTCGACCAATTCAACATCGTAGTGTGTAAATTAGATTAGTGTGAAACTTGACGATCTTTCCATACAAAAGTCAGTAACAAAGAATCGATCGATAGATTTGGCGAATCCGCACAAAAGTCCAAATTTTGGGTAAAAGGACAATACTACAGAGAACCGAGTAGGAACTCGCGCACAGTGGTATTTTGAAATATATGGGGAATTGTATGCGAATGCGCAAGTTGTGATTCCGAGTACGAATTATAATTTTGCAATCAGATCAATCTGATTAATTTTATTATATCCAATCATACAATTTAAAAACTTTTTATAAGCATACTATTGGTTAAAATATAAAATATGAAAAAAACACTATTGGTTGACGTCGGAATTTATGAATGCTCCATGGAAAAAAATTAGTGTTGATACCACTGTGCGCGAGTTCCTACTCGGTTCTCTGTAGTTAGTACGTAGTAGTTAGTACCTTGGCAGATAAAATCTTTTGAATCTCGTGCACTTGGTCGACGTGGTCAAAGGTGAGCGCGGTCTGGCTACGTCGTCGACGGAGGGTGGATGTGTCGGACTCTGTGAATGCTGGTTGGGTCGAGTGGGAAGCGGCAACTGCGTTGTTCCTATTGCGTTGGTCTTCTTGGGCAGTCAATCCCGATTTTTCACTTGACATCTCGTGTCGAGGCATGTGGCTGGGCTTTCGCCTCCTGTCCAATGCTTACTATGGTCACGGATATATACTAATGATTAACACCTAGGCACTTACGTGACTCGAGTAGTGTGTGTTACCCTGCCGACCTGGGAGGCCAAGGCGAGCTTACGGGCATTCAAGGTGGGCGCGGGATTGGAAAACGAACATCCCAATCGATTGTTCGAGTGTTCGACCTTGTCGTGAAGTGGGTCCACATATTCGTGCCATATGTGCTTAAGGACTTGCGCCAGCTACCAAACGATCAGGCGGTTGGCTTCATACTGGGGCTACGCACCCCCGCTGTGGACGGCTGCTGCTCCAACTGCGCCGCCACTTGCCAGTAAATGTCTTGGAAATACGCGTGGCTGGCCACGCCTTGTCGGGGGTTCTGATTCGTCTGATTCGACTGAGTCTGATTCGACGTCTCATGCAACGATGCCATCAGCTTGGCTGCCACGAGCCGCATGGGGTGTTTTACAAGGGGCGAGTCACTCTGACGTCGGGAGGGCGACGGATGTGACGACTTTGGTCGTAACAACTTGATGCCGCCGCTGGTTGCATTGTCGCGGGGACGTATATCGAGTGGTAGGCTAATCTGTTGCAGCACTTCGCTGGTCGTATTCGGTGGAGGTTCTTCCAGGGGTAGTTTGGCGGACGTGATGGACGTAGTGGCCATGCGATTGGGTTCCTGTTCTGCAAAGTCTTGAACGCAGCGTTTGGTAGCTGTGACACGGGAAGACGCCCCATCACGCCGATGACGAACAAGCGATTTCTAGTCGTGTGTGTATGTACAAGAACGATAGTTGCAAAACAGAACAGCCCCTGTATAGTACATGTACTAGTAAGTCGGCCGGGAGGGTATGTACCATGTCGTAAAGAGAAGTCAAGTACGGCTCGTGAGCCAGGGCCTGCCGGATAACAGGGGACCACCCTGGACGGCTACCAGTTTGGGCTACAAGGTGACGACGCTGGCCGTGGCTAGCATCAAACGGAGCCGACTCGGGTCGAAAGGACATGGGTTTGGGGCCTTTTGTCGTCGTGTATAGTGTTGTTGGATAGTACTACGTACTAACTGCAAGTAGTAGTGATCAAGGGCTGGGTGCAACCACGGACAGTTACATACGAAACGGTCCCACCAAACAACAAAATGTGCCAGTGTGGTTGGGTGTGTTCTAGTATATGGCCACCATGAACGCGGTATTTGTACTACTAGTACCACTACTACTACGACTAGTATGACTCGGGAGCTCTAAGGGGGGACTTGTTTTTTCGACGACTTGGGTTTGTTGGCATACGACTTGACAAACGGCTGGTTCTTCTGGGCTTGGGCAACCGCGGCTTGGAAAGGCGACGGGAACGACGACAGATTGGTCGTGGCCAGCGGCGGCGGTGTTACCTAGTAGTCCGAGGTCGTTAAAGGGAGGGATTGCTGCTATATATATATATTGAAGCTGGTAGTACCGGCGTGGGAATGTCCAGCAATTTCTTAACCCCAGGGATTTTGAGCACCAACGTCTGGGTCAGCGTGAAAATGTTGGACGACACCCAATACAGCAAGATGCCCTACCGCAGTAGAACACAACCTATAAGACGAAATATATATATATATATTGGAGCCGTACCGATTCAAAGTTTACCGCGACTGGAATCATAATCAAGGCTACGATACGCATGCCCATCTTGGCCTTGTCAATGTACTCGGCCGGCATGCCTTCTCCACCCGCCTACAACTAGCTAAGCAACACTCGTCGAAAATGAGCAGCTTGCACACAAATATACACACCTCGAGGGACGCCACCATGAGCGCGGACGACAACACGGGTAAGGCGTATGTCGGATCAGGTGCTGCCAAGTTTTCAAACCAGAACGCTCCATCGGCAGCGTAGCCAGGAATATACTTGGCGATATCTTGCAGGCCCCAGAAAAATCCGAGAAAAATCGGCAGCTAAGTCAAATATATCAATATATATCCAACACCAGTGGACCATGTACCTGGGAGATGGGCATGAGAAACGACATGAATGGGCGGACTTTGTGCTCCTTGAACAGCGCCTATATGGATGGAGTGTGGGTGAACACCAATATATTTTTTCAAAATTGACGGACTGTTGAAATATATTTGCGATAAAATTCTATTATATAAAATACCTGCGCCCGCGCTCGAAACTCGGTCATCTTCGCCGGGTCGTAGGCGTCGGGGGAGCTTTTGATTTCATCTTGCAATTTTTGCAATTTGGGTTGCAATATGCCCATACGTGCGGAATTGCGCATCTAATCCGTAAGAAAGGAGTCATAATTTTCAGCCTCAGCAACCAAGTCCTTCATTCTTCCTTGCAGCAACATGATCATGTACCTACCGACATGATGGAGATGGGAAAGAACGCAGAGCGCACGACAATGGTCGTGGCAATGATGGTTGCCCACCAAGGCAGGCCCGACGTGGCATGCACCACGTCCAACGTACGGATGGCAATCTCCGCCAAGGAATAGCCTAATGAAGAGCAAGGATGTCCGTCATTGACGTTGACTAATGCGTGGGTTGGCATACCCATTTCAGCAGTGACGGGGGCAACGGTAGTCTGGAAGGCATCCACAGCGTTGTGCACGGCAACGGCGTCCACGTTGTGCTGAATCGCAGTCAAGTTTTCGGCGGCCGACAGATCTGTGGCGTGCGAATCGTGGTTCGAGCCGAGGATAGGCGACTGCGAAAACGCGCGGAAGGACCCAGGGACAGACGACGACCTAAGTTAAAAGAGGGCGGTCATGAAGCAATCAACGTGCATGTGCTGATGGTGGGTTTACTTGGTGAAACGAAGGAACTGGCCCACGTACGGTGCACGTCCGCCGCGAGCTTGGATAAGAGTCGCCACGCGCAACATTTTACTCGAATGGGGCAGCGGACCAATACTTTCAACCGGATAATTCAACCAAATAGCCAATCAGAGCGGTGTTTAACCGGATCAATCACTTAGACTCATAAATATGCATTAACCAGAAAAAGCAAGATGAAATAGGCAATTTTGTATGCTGCGCAAGGTGAAGCACCTTGCGAATTCCATAAATAATTCTGAAATTGTATAGTTTCAATGAAATATATCTTCAAGTTTGTATTGATGATTTTTATTTTTCATGGGTCTGTCTCTTTTTGGAATTCGCAAGGAAGGTCACTTGTGAATTCAAAATTGTCGAATTATGTCCAATCAGATGCGGTGAAATCACGAAAATCGCTGCGTAGATTATTCATCACGCCCTGTTGCGATATATTCTACTCCTGTGATGGCGGTTGATGCAAGGAGCCTTGAGATAATTATGTAGGCTGTGCATGAGAGCAAGATCATGTGATGTGGTATTCAGGACTCGGTCAATTCCAACAGGTCAAATTTCACCACTTGCCTACTAACCCAATGAAATTGGTCATCCCACATTCCACCATCCAGCCCGTGTCGGTGCCGTACACCTCCCTGCCGGTGTGATCACGTGGTTGCGCGGGCGGTGGCGCAAGACGTCTTGGTGGCACACATCGCAAGTGCTGAAGTGGCGGCTTTAGCACTTCGCGTTTGCGATGGGTGCTACCAAGACCTCTTG